GAGGAGCTGATACCAAGGGCTCAAGCAGAAAGCAAATGTTTTGAGAATGATGATGGCAACAAATGTACAAATGTGCTTGACACAATGGATGGATGGATGGCTTGTGATAAGAGTTGTACGAGCCCCCAATAAAATGATTAAAAACAAAAAACAACAAAAAAGAAAACTACTTGGGAGCATGTCACCTTAGAAGGCAAGAATTCTACCCCAGCACCATCACTGCCCTCCACTCTTTGTTTGTTTGTCCAGATAAATTAAAAGTGCTGAAGGTCAAAGTTTCAGAAATGACAGCAGAGAATTCTCACACACAGGCCACAGCATCTTTGTGCTTTTATCTAATTCTCAACATGGATTTCTTGGAGCGGATTTCCTGAGTCCCAGGCATGCACATTAAAGACATTGCTGGGCAACGGATGGTGGGAGTCGGCAATGTTACCCACAACCATCCCCTCGCCTATTAAGTGAACAAGCGTAGACTCCCAGAAAGTTAAGTGATCTGTCAAGTCACAAAGGGAATAAGAGAGAAAACCAATTGCCGGTGAGTCGGTGTGAACTCACGGCAGCCCCGTGTGTGTGACAGGAGAACTGTCCTCCACAGGGAGGGTTTCAATGGCTGATTTCTCAGAAGTAGATCCGACCCCACACCCGGAAGAGGACTTACTCATACACCCAGGAAGGCTTCCCTCTGCCATGAGCATGATCCATACGCCTTTAGGTCTGGCCTGAAAGTCCTGCAGATTTGGGGAACACCTTGACTGAGGCCCAGAACTGAGACCAACACCTGCTCTGGTTCTCTTAGCAGGGGTCTGACAAAGATTTGACTCCCACTCGGTCACGTGATAGCTGAGCTGTAGGACCCTCAGGAAAGCCCTGCTCCCCTAACCTCCAGCATCCTCATCACGAACTGGGACTGTTGAATGAAGAGTTAACAAAGCACTCTTGCTTCTCTATGGACAAATAGGTCCCAGGAAACCCAATAAAGGTGGAACCCTAGCTGTGTCACCAGATACCATAGCTTACAGTGGGAATGGCCGCTGACTGTTGAATTCTGTCTGCACGTCAGGAAAGGCAAGGAAGGGACTGTCATTTGGGGAAACCGAAGCTTGCATTGGCCCGGAGAGGAGTTAATCCTGTCACTGAGCACTGCCTTGGCAAGCTCTGTCCGTGGGAAGCTTTGTACATGGGACTTTCCAAGCTTTGGGACATGAGCTTTCAAGTCAGAGGGTTTCCACCATGGTGGCCCCAGTTCCTTCTCTTGTGGGAGACAGAGACTCTGTGTGGCCCTCTGTGCACTGTGAGGCTACCCTGCTGGCACCCTGTCTGTCTGTCCATGCATCCTCCCAGGTGAAGCCAGGGCCCACCTAGAAGCTCGTGAGGAAGTGTGGCCCTGTGGGTCTGCCTGATTGAGACGAACACCCCAGAGGGGGTACCGTGGGCACCATGGGCAACAGTAACCATAAACCCCTGGTGGGGTTGTGAGAACTAAATAAAATCATAGCAACCGAGCTGCTGGCAGAGGAAGGGACCAGTGCCAGCCCCCTTCTCCTCGGCCCGGAAGAGATCACCTGTCTTTGGGCTCGTCCCTGGGCCTTTTCCTTGGTGAAGAAAGGCCTGCCTCTGCTTTCCAGTCCGGACAATCGGGTTCCCTGTCATTCTTCTGTGCTGGGTCTCTCTCCCCTCCTTTCTCTCCTCTGGGGAGCCCAGGGGAATCTGCAAGAAAAAGGGTAGCATTGGCCCTCAAGGCAGCCCCAGCTCAGTAGGACCCAGCAGGAGTTTGGGGAGCAAAGTCAGGGACGGAGACTGCCACGCAGCCCCCCCTAACATATGCATGTACACCTACATATACAACATGCATACATGTGTACAAATACTCATTCACACACGGGGCTATGATGGCATTTACACACACATACCCCTCTGCATATATGAAGGGGCTTCAAGAAGTTCATGGAAAAACTCCATTATCATTTAATTCCATTTTTTTCATGAACTTATTCAAGAGCCTCTTGTATTCATACAAATGTGTACACGCACAACACCCAGTCGCCGTGTGACTGGTGGCAGCCCCATGTATGCTGGAGTAGAAGTGTGCCCTCAAGGGTTTCTGGCCATTGATTTTTCCAATTAGATTGACTGCCAGGCCTTTCTTCCAAGGCAATTCTGGTTGAACTTGGACCTGAAGCCTTTTGGTTAAGCATCTGAGTGTTCACCCATTTGCACCCCACAGGGACTCTGTGTACATACATGTACTATATAGGCAAACACAAGCACACACATATTCACATCCATACACATGCACATACCCACAAATGCTCGCGTACCCAGATGCTGTGGCACTGCCCAGCAGCTCGCTCCGAGCCTGAGCGAGAGCACACCTGCCGCGGATGAAGTCACCTGACAAGCACACACCAAGTGGGGCCCAGGTGCTGGGGGTCTGGAGGGAGGAAGACCCGGAGCCCAGGCGCTCGGGCCGGCCGTTCTCACCCAGCAGCCGCTTCCAGTTCTTGATGAGGACTTTGGCTAAGGACACCACCTCCTTGTCTGAGCAGTGCTTGCGGACCCCGTTCACGGCAACCCCAATCCTGGTTGTCTGCAAAACAAGAGGGCTTGGGCTGTTCTGAATCAACCACTCCCTCCTCCAGGTCCCCCCAGGGCCCTGGCTCTGACCTGTGGCTGCAGTGATTGACCCATCCCATAACCTAACCAAGGCCCGGGCTGGCCTCGACTGGCTGCTCACCCCAGCTTTGGTGAAAAGCCAAGGAGGGAGGCTTGGGCGGATCAGGACTCCTCCCCTCTGGAACCCCAGGGTCTCTGAGCTGCCACAGCTTAGCTCAGTACTCAGTTTTGAGGTCCAAGCAACTTTTGGTAAAGTGTGGGGGCTACATGAGCAAGGCTAGAAATGGGGCTTTCCCCTCTCCCTGGGTCACTGCCGTGTTCAAGGAAACACACTCGTTTTCTCCCAGACCCAGGGGGTTGGGGCCGTACCCTGCCCCTCCCCACAGATGGCTTGGGGTCTCCTTCAGAGCTGTGTACCTCAAGACTGGTGACTCCCTTTGCCCCGGGCCCTCCTCAACCCCTCACAGTGTCCTTGGGCTCCCCTGGCCCCACCTACCTGTAGTAGCTGGATGGACATCTGGCAGCTGTTCAGCTTCTTCAGAAGGTCAAGGGCCCCTTCCTGTGGGAGGCCACAAGGTGAGGACTGAGGCCCATGGCTGTGCAGCTGTGCACTGGGTCCCAGGCCTCTGACCCCTTTGAGGTTTCAGTGACGGTTACTGGCAGACAAGGAGTGGAGCTTAGCAGCTCACTCTGACCTGGCTTGTCTCTGCTGTTCTTCTAACCTGCATGCTCCCTCCTGCCCTGTCTTTCCCTCAAAAAGTAGTCATGTCAACAGCTCCTTGTTGCTTGTCTCTCTGTCTCCCGCTTCCTCTCATTTCCCAGTGGAGAGCTTCCTCAGACTGAGAATTGGGGGTCGTTTTTTCTTTCAATAGCATTATCAAGGCCGAGGAGGTTCTTGGCTGGGAACCCCAGGTCTGCTGCTAGCTGCCCCTTGGGAGACAAATCTGGCGGCCTGCTTCCATCAACCTGCTGGAAACCCGATGGGGCAATTCTCCTCTGTCTTCTAGGTTCACTCTAAGTTGGAATTCGCCCAACAGCGGTAGGCCTGATTGGTCTTTTGGTTGATCCATGTTTGAATGACATGCATGAAATGTTCAATAAATTGCACTTACAGTCGAATACAATTTGATGAGTTCTGACATACATGTACAGCCACGAGACCATCACCACAATCAAGATATGAACAAATCCGTGATTTCCAATCGTGTCCTGATGCCCCTTTGTAGCGTATCCCTCCCTCTATTCCAGCCCTGGGTCCAGGCAACAGACAGTCTGTGTTCTGTCGCCAGAGGAGCTCCGGAGTTCTGGTGGTGCTGTGGCACAAGCATTGGACTGCTCACTGCCAAGTTCGGCACTTCGGAACCACCAGTCGCTACAAGGAAGAAAGCTGAGGCTGACTGCTCCTGTAAAGACTTGCAGTCTCGGAAACCTCTAACATGGTCACTCTCCATTGAAACAGGCTCAAAGGCCGGGGGTTTGCCTTCTGCTTTCTATTTTTTTAAAATCACTTTATTAGGGGCTCATACAACTCATCACAATCCATACATACATCAATTGTGTAAAGCACATTTGTACATTCATTGCCCTCATCATTTTCAGAACATTTGCTCTCCACTTAAGGACCTTGTCTTTTGAAGGGTTTGACCTAAAGAATACGATGGACTTTTTGGCTCTGGTTTCTTTTCTTCTGAGACACACCTGTGCTGCGGTGTGGAATCATAGTGCCTTTTTATTGCTGCGTAGGGTCGGCGGCGATACCACAATCTGTACATCCGCTGGCCTGTGGCTGGGGCTCTGGGGTTACCCTGTGGTGCTACTACAAAGGAAGTGGTCATGACCATTCACAAGCAAGTTTTCGTGGGAACAGAAACTTTTCCTTTCTTTTGGATAAGGAGACCTGTTTGAGCCTCCACAGACTTTAGAGCTCAGCAGAGCCCAGTGGTTCCTGGGTGAATGCATGAGTGTGTGAATGAAGGAATGAAGCCAAACACATGAACTGGGAAGCGTCCGGGGGAGGGGACAAAGGGAGGCTCAGCAGTGCATACCTGCTGGCTACCAGGCCCTGGTCAGCCCTGACCCATTCTAGCCCCTGTCCTCTAACCCCTTTCCTAGTCGCAGCCTGAGAGCCTCCTGTCCTTACGGGTTTCTGGGCATCACTAGCTGTGTCCTGTCTGCCCTTCCCTGCCCGCCCCTACCCACCCAGTTCCAGCTGGCAACTCCACGCCCTGCCAAGCTCCCTCCCGGACCACGTTCCGAAGCCTTCCTCTCTCAGGCCTCGGCCACTTTAGAACGTAGACTCTTGGGATTTTTTTTTTTTTTGGCAGTGGCGTGCCTTGTGGATCTGTGTGAAGACCAACTTGTGGACCTCCAACTCTGTGTGCCACATTAAGTGTTCACAGTGGACACGGCCCTGCGCTTTCACATGCATGAGCTCACTGAACTTGCACAGCCGCCCGATGAGATAGGTGCTATCACTACCTCCAACTGTACACAGAAGGGAACTCCCAAATCACCAAAAGCTTAAACAATTTGCCCCAAGTTCCATTGCTTGCAGAGAGCTGAGCTGGGCTTCAAACTCGGATCTTTCAGGCTCTAATTTCGACACCAACTGGGTAGGTGCAGCTGCAGCTCTGTGTGGGCATGGTAGAATCTCAACGTGAGTGGGGGCTGTGGTATGCTGGCCCATGTTCAACAACCGCATGTCCAACGAAAACCACGATGGGTGCTTGCCATTTCCTGTGGTGTAAATGTTCCTTCCACAGCCAATTTCAAGTTCCCAACATAATGGCACAGTGCTGAGGGAAGTCCTGGGAGGGCAGGGGCAGTACCATACCATGGTACTAGATTTCCAACAGGCGAGGGGGCTTCCAAAAGTTTGTGGGGAAATTCCATGATGTTTTCATCCCATTTTTGCATGAATGTATATACTTGCTAATCAATAATCACTAGGCCACAGGTAATAGTAAAATGCAGCAAATTACTTGGAATATTTTTATCTTTGTTCTTGAATATAACTTATTTAATTGTAAGCAAGCATAAGCTTTAATACATAAACACACATCTATATATACATATAAAACAGTTGGATTTACCGACTGACTTACAAACTTCCTGAAGAACCCACCATCAGCTTCTCTGTCTAATTTAGCAGCGAGTGGGTGCCGCTCTGTGTGCTGTATAACTGGGTCAGGGTGGAGAAGAAGAGCCGTGAGCCCAGGTTGTCGCTAGCTCACAAAGCGTTATGCAAGGATTGCTGGGGTGGTTCCCTGTAAGGGCTGCCTATGCATGAAGCTGTGGGTTTGCCCCTTGAGGCATGACTGTGTCTATTTATCTTTTAGGGTGATGCCTGTATGAGTAGGAGTGTGTGTGTTTGATAAGTCTGCAGTTCTGTGTGTCTGAGTGTAGCTGTCTTTGTGTGACTTTTTGTGAATGCAGTGTGATCTGCCAGGGTCACTGTGTCTGTCACGTGAGTGCCAGTAGCCGTGTCTTGTTTAGCTATTGTGGTATGTGGTTGCATGTGTGTAGCTGTGTCTGTTGCCCTGTCATTTTGTGCCTAGGTAGCAGTGACTGTCATTGCTGGGCTGTATACTGGAGGCTGTTTCAGTCTGCTCTGCACGCTCGCAGAAACCAACAAAAGCCTTAAGTTTTCAGGACTTCAGCAATTGGCGGCAGCAAGCCCCAGGCCTGAGCTGCAACGTGGAGGATCCGTCTGATGACAAGCGGAGTGTCCTTCTCTCTCTAACCACCGCGGGGCGGGCCCACTTTCACTCGCAGACGAGGCCCCACCTTCCTTCGTCAGAGGCCCAGAGTTCTGTGCCCACCCAGATGCTGCCAAGAACCCAGGCGCAGACGTGGCTGCAGGCAGTTCTGTGTGGCAGGGACGTTGGGGCTCCACTTGTATCTTGGAAAGAGCTGGGGCACTTCCACCGAGATGGACCTCCACCTCCGAGGGAGCCCATTTCCTCTTCCCATTTCACAGGGAGGAAATGTCTGGTTAGCTATTGTGGTGTGTGGCTGCAAGTGTGCTTAGGCCCAGAGATGAAAACTATAGGAGCTTGCCTCAGGCCATAAAAGGAATTTTTTTAAAAAGGAGACAGATTCCTTTCTTTGACCAGTTCCACTTCCCCACCCTCACCAAGCAGCCTAACCCCAGGTCTCCCAAGTCCCTGCACCCCACTCTGACCCTGACATGTGATGGTTCCTTCCCTGCCCAAGCCTGGGCTCAACATGGGAAGGGGCTAGAGTAACTTGTGTCCTTGACCCAGAATAATTCACGTTCAAAAGATCTGGGCTGGGCTCCATCATTCCCACCTGGGGAAACGGCCAGGTTCACTGGTTTTGGAGGGATTCCGGTGGAAGCTGGGAGCCTTGCGCTCTTGGCAGCGTCTCTGCACCGCTGTGAGTCCTCCCCGCTGGGCAGCGGCGGTGTCAGTCACTGGCTCCAACCAAGCACCAGCTGGGCCCTTTGCCTATAGCCTCTCTTCAACCTTGAGGATCGCAGGCAAAGATCAGCTTCCCAAGCGGTGTGTAATCTCATCATGCAGATAAAGAACTGAGGCTCTGGCCTCTGTATATTAAAGCCAATTAATTACAGCTCAATGTCTGCTCTGGGGTTCCCCGACAGCGCTGGTTCTTGCAACCCAGAGGCGTGGATCTAGGGGAAACAGGGCCCCCGGCAAGCATTAAAATTGCGCCTCTGTCCAAACATCCATCTTAAATACTTGGCATCTTGGGCAGGTCATCTGATAATCACAAATCTGCCTTGGGACCCAATTATCCGCTTTCATGGAGGAGAAACCTTAAAAAAAATTTCTTTTTTCAATCGTCTTTCGAACCTTTGTGCTTCTGCTGCTTTAGATAACTTGCCCCTCCGTTTTGGTGGACGGTTACATTCGGAGAAAATAATCCCTGACATTTAAAGCTTTTCAGGAGCAGAGGAGAGTGGCTGAGGTGCTTGTGGGTAGGTGGATAGAGAGCCAGGACCTCAGACAGCCTCACGAAGGAGAAGGCCCTGGAAAGAGAGGTCCGGGTGGGGGTGTGTATGTGGGGCGGGGCGTGTCTGTGTCAAGGGCTGCTAAAGCGGTCGAGAGCGAGGCATGGGGAGAAGCAAGCCGTAAAGTTGCCGTATCCAGACCCACAACCAAACCAAACCAAATCCATTGCGGATCAGAACGGCCCCACAGGGTCTCCAAGTCCTTGGCAGGGGGTTGCCACGTGTGATCGTTAACAGTAAGACCTTAACCAGTGCACCATCAGGGGGCTACTGAAGTCAGGAAAGGGGCACTCTAAAATCGGAAGTACTGTAATAGGTTTTAACTCGTTACATGTGGAACCTGCAACTGCTCCGTGGAGCTTCCCTTCAAGGGGCGCAGCAACCTCGACCGGGCCCTACATTTCCCTTGGGGGGTCACCTCTTTTCCCAACACCCAGGGTGCCCAATGTGGTGGGAAGGCTGAGCCTGCTCCAGCACTTGGCTGCGCGTGGAGGGAGAAGGGTCCCTGGACGGAGCAAGGCCGCGACGGGACGCCCCTGGCTCCCCTCTCTCTCTTCCCCAGGGGTGAGACCAGGCCCTGCCTGGCGGCGCCAAGGCCAAGTTTGCTTTGGTTGGAGATCCGGCCGCTGCCAGGCTGAGGCAAAGATCATGGGAAATCAAACATTAACTTCACATCAGGGCTGCAGCCCGGGCATCAGACTGCGGGGTGGAGTGGCATGGGGTGGGGTGGGGGTGGCAGCGACAAGCCGCGGTTCAGTCCCCACTTCCCAGTCTCCTCTTCCTCCGCCACAACCCCGCGACCCGGCCTCCGGCCCAGCCCCCTCCCCGCACCTGTTCGCCCGCCGCCCAGCCCTCCTCCCGCCAATTACGGGCAAAATGGCAACCAGACCCGCTCCGGCTCCCTCTCCGCCAGGAGCCACTCCCGAGGTGAGCGGGGAACGCACCCCGCACCCGTCACCAACCCAAGTTTCGTTGCCCCTTCTCAGGGCCCCCAGGCCGGTGCCCCCCTCCTGCCACCCATCCCCGCCGTCGCGGCCCGCCCGGCCTTGGCACACCGCCGGCCGCCCGCCGAGTGTTCCACGGCTTGCCAGCTCCTCGCTTCGCTCTCGGGGCCGGTTACTCACTTTCTCCCGCTCCCCACAAGCCTACGGAACCCTACACGACTCGGGCCGCTTGCGACCCCGCTTCTCGGCGCCCCACCGACGACGCTCCCCTCCCCCCAGCCCCCAACCTCCTTGGCGGCCGCGGCCAACTGCACACGCCCACCCAGAGGCGCCCAGCCGCCCCCGAGGGACGCGGAGCCCTGCGCCAGCCGCGCCGCCCTCGGGTGCCGAGTTGCACACGCGCCAACCGGGCGTCCCGCCAGCACGGGCCCCGGGACTGTCGGGCGCGCCCCCGGGGGCGGGGGCCCCAGCCCGCAGCCTCACCGTGTGCTTCCTGGCCACCATCTTCTCCAGCTTCTTGGCGATCTTCAGCAGCTCCTCTTCCCGGCTCATGTTGGCCGGCGGCGCGCAGCGGCGCGACGAGCGCACGGGCCGCAGACGCGAAGCCGGAGGACGCGCGCCCTGCGCCAGCGCCACTCACACACACTCACTCACACTCACACTCACACTCACACGACGCTCC